ACTAAGTATCTCATTTCCTATCCAAACCAATTCAATTAAACTCTAACTCACCCGTTGCTGATAATAAAACATGAAAGAGCAATAAATGGGGGAAACGGGGCTGTAATACATGAGACGACGGGTTGGGTCGTCACAATACTCTTCCCGGCAAGGGAACAATCACAACAAGTCAAACATCCCGACAAGGGAGAGTCAGCTATAACCAATCTTATTCAACTTCTTCTTGTCACAACTAATACCAATATTCAGTCGCAACTTTCATAGGATCAAACAAGGGTACACAATTATCAAATTAAGACTCACGGTCATGCTCGACACCGACGCATGGACACTCGTCACCATGCCCATACGTCGTATTCAACACAAAACAAGTAGCAATTATGACTCAACTCCTAATCCCTCAAGCTAGGGTTAAACCAAACACTTACCTCGATGCTTTGAACTCAACTCAAGCCTCAACTATAGCTTTACCCCGTGATTCCACCTCCAATCCGCTCGAATCTAGTCACAAATCACTTAATTACTTTAATAAACACTAAATGAATCAATTTGAATGCATAAAAAATGAATTTCTGAAAGTTTTGCCCAAAATTCCAAAATCGTCCCTGGGCCCACGTCGTCAAAACCCGAGGTTCGAACCAAAACCCGATTACCCATTCCCCCACGAACCCAAATATATGATTTGTTTTGAAATCGGACCTCAAATTGAGGTCCAAATCCCCAATTTTAGAAAAACCTAGGTTCTACCCAAAACCCCCAATTTTACCCATGGAAATCTTTGATTTTAAGTTTAAAACATGTTAAATGATGTTAAAGATTGAAAGAAATGAGTAAAAACCAACTTACAAATGATTTGGAAGAAGTCTTGTTCTTGGAAAATCGCCCAAAGAGGTTTGTGTTTTGAAAGAATGTTAAATTGGCTCAAAAATTCGGCTAAGTATAAAATATGCAGGCCTTAGATGTGGAAAATGCGAAGGTGGGTTCGCATTTGCGAACCCTGCAGGTTTGGGAAATGCGAAGGTGAGTTCGCATTTGCGAACTCTGAAGGATCTAGGAATTTTCACATTTGCGAGCCAATGTGTCGCATTTGCGACATGCCCGACATCGCATTTGCGGACCAAGAGGTCGCATTTGTGATCCCAGCTGGCTAGACCCCTTTCGCATTTGCGATGGCAAGCTCGCATTTGCGAGCCCTGCTTCGCAAATGCGAAGATTGCAGGACTGGGAATATCAGATTTTCCCAAGGTTCAAAATGCACTCCGACACCTATCCAAAACTCACCCGAGCCCTCGGGGCTTCAAACCAAATATGCACTCAACCTCAAAAACATCCTATAGACTTATCCGTGCGATCAAATCGCCAAAACAACATCATATACATAGAATCAAGCCTCAAAACTCATTATTTCTTCCAAGTTTTTCATAAAACATCAAATTTCCATTTTAAGTCTGAAACACGTCAAACGACGTCCGTTTTCAACCAAACATTACAGAAAGTGCTTAAATCATATATAAGACTTGTACGGGGCGCCGGAACTAAAATATGTGCCCGATTCCATGTCTTCTAATCAAATTTCATTTCCAATTTTCTTAATTATTTCCAGAAAATAATTTCACACAAAAATTCATTTCTCGGGCTTGGGACCTCGGAATTCGATTCCGGGCATACGCCCAAGTCCCATATTTTCCTACGGACCTTCTAGGACCATCGAATCACGGGTCTGGGTCCGTTTACCCAAAATGTTGACCGAAGTCAAATTTATTTATTTTAATATCAAAATTTAGCAGTTTTCTCATAGAATTCATATTTATGCTTTTCGGCTATGCACCCGGACTGCGCACGCACATCGAGGCAACCCTAAACGAGGTTTTCGAGGCCTCGGAAGTACAAAATGGGTAAGAAAATAGGTGATGACCCTTTGGGTCGTCACACGGATATTTGAAGTTTAGGAGTTTAAAATTTTAATAATTTTAAGTGTGCTTATTCTAAACTAATAATTTGTTCACGTTCAATAAATTTTTAAGACAAATATAAGGTTTGAACCAAAGTTATTGGATTCAACCGAACCCTAAATAACATAATAGGTTCCGCCCTTGGTTGAAAGTGATGTTTGCCTTCTCGCCTTTGGAAATTGCCACAGGATTAAATCATTAAATGCAAATAGCTTTAGTAAATATGGCAAGCTTTTGAATTTATATACGGAGCAAATAGTGACACTACTAGAAAATGGGCCTATGGGAACAACTTTTTTGGTAACAGTTCACAAACCGTTGCCATAGAGGTGTTATAGTAACGGATCAAACCGTTACAATAGAATTTGGGAGGTATCAGCACACTTTAGACATCAAACCGTTGCAAATGTAACAAAACCGTTGCCATAGAGTTTTGTGTCGCAACGGATTTGTTAACCGTCCCAATAGATATGTATATGGCAACGGTTTTGAAAAGAAATTGCTATGTGAACGGATATTCAATTCCCTCGTTTTTCAGCTGAAAATTTTAGTGGCCAGCCAAGCTAATTAGTGACATGTCATATTCTTATTTTTTTTAATTTTTAACATTACTGGTCTAACTGTATCGATACACCCAAAGTCCCAAACGTAGCTCCCTAGTACTATATTCAAACTCCATCATCGATACACCGGAGCTCCCTCGTTGATTCACCCAAAATTGCCTCTCTGATCTCTTTTCTTTATCATCTTTGCCGAGTTTAAGATTAATGGCCGAGTTTCATCAAATACCTCTTCATTAGACCACCATAATCATCAAACCCTAGAGTTCCCAAAGCCCAAAACCCCAAGGACAGTTCCGTCGGTCTTTCCGGCACTTCGCCGGCACTTCTTCAAGGACAGTTGCTGCTCCCGCACTTCTCCCGCACTCCTTCCCCAAACCCCCAAATTCATTAATTGTTAAGAGGTGATTCTATTTGTATGCTTTTCTTGTTTTAATTTTTCTTTTATCTGGGTTTTTTAATAGAAAGGTAAAAGATTTATCAAAAAAAAATTTGTCTAACGAATTTTTTGGATTTTCAGGTGGTAACCTTAGATCTGTTGCTTCATCTGGTGCAGTTTGCAGGTAAATTCTTATACTTTTTCCTCTGTTAGCCGATCTTTTTTTTGTTTTTGGTTGCTTTCTCTTTGGGTTTTACTTTCTTTGTTTCAAGCTTTTGATTTTCTTATGTTGGTTCTAGGTTTATCTAAAAATTCTTTTCTTATTTGAGATATATGTTTCAATGGACATTATTCCCCCTTGGTTTTGCTGTATAAAAGGTTCTATTTCTTATTACACTAGAAGAAAAAAGGCCTTTAGCGAGGGGAAATTCGGTCGCTAAAAGTCCAAGTCCAGTCGTTATTGGTGAGAATGCTAGCATTCACAAAAAGTTCTTTCCCTTTATCCATAAGATCATCATCTTCCATTCTTTTCTATAGGCTTATAATATTTTTAGTTCTGAGATTAATTGGAGTTGGAATCTAATTTACAAGTTATAATGGACTGCAATGTAAAGTTTATAGGAGTATTATTAAATGATAGATTTACAAAGATATGATCGAGGACTTAAATAGTCATAGATAGGAAAGAAATAGTCAGAGTGCAAAAGATATAGGAATAACTTATAGTTGGACATTCACTTCATGAATATCATTAAATAGGAGAAATTACAGAAAAAAGACTTCAGTTAACCCATGGATAAGGATTCATATTAGTGTCTTTCACTTTAGATAGCTAATGAAAAGAACCTATCAACTAAACCTAATATTAATGCAAGCATTTAACATTCTTGAACCGATAGTGAAACAGAAGAAAAAAGACATACCTGAAATGATATTTATCCTGACAAACAACAATTACGAAGTAAAAATGGTGAACTAATAATTGCACGAACAACAACTAGTACCTCCTGGGATTGTTGAGCATCGACTGCAAATAAATTCAAGCAACTTGTGCCTCCTTGGAATGTTGAGCAACTTCTACCTTCTTCACCTTCACTTCTTGATATGAGCTGATTGCTATACTCAATGCAGATAAATTGTTAAACAAGTGAAGCAACAAAAGAACAAAAAATAAACCATCATAACGAAGAACTCACCAACACAGAAAAAATAATTTCCTTTTAAGAGGAGAATATTTCTCATTCTGTTGCACCTAGAAGCAATGAATTCTTTAGTATCCTGATATATTTGTGAGCACTTGTAACTTAGATCACCTACACTGTCTTGGATTTTTATTAACTAGCTTCCTCAACGTTAGATTGTATTAAGCACCATCAATTTACTCTTTAATATACCAAGTTAAATTCATCCATTACTTGGACGCATCGTTTGAAAACTCAAAGTTCATATACTGATATTAGATCTTCAAGTAATGACAAGAACTTTATAGAAATGTAAAGTCCTTTTAGTTCATCCCATTAGTGATAATTCTTTACAAAATTATTATGTCTTCATGGTTATATCTTTAGTCATAACTGCAGCGAAAAGCACAAAGATAAAGACCAATTTATAGAAAAATTACATGAAAAGGAAAAAAAGATCATCCCTTACAAATATTTATACCTATCTCTCCTTCACCTCATATACCAAATAAAGGCCTATACTTAGGTCAATAAACAACAAAAATTAAAGAAAATTACAACTCCAGGCAGGTTTAATACAGCATAACTAGACATTGATAAAAGATACTATTGGGAAACATTAATATTCTAACAAGAAATCCAAGGTACTTGACAAACACTAAGAAAAGCAGAACAATACCATCAAACCGAGAGACCATTGGACAATAAAAGAATACCCAATTACCCCGTCTCTGATCACTACAAACCCGCTATCTCCCACGCTAACAGATTGCAAAGTATCGTTAGCGAGTGTCAACATACAAGCAGTAGAAGAACCCATAGCCTTTGTTTTCCATTAATTCTCTTGAGTATATTCCTGAGTCAAATTAATATGCTCTTGGTTTATTTGGTTAGTTTTGTTGATTTACTTTTATCGTATAGGATATCTATGGATAATGGTGATAAAAGTTGGATGAATCTCCTGATATGGACAGATGAGTATATCCGTGGAGTGAATGATTTTCTTGATAAGGCATTTGAACGAGCCGCCCAAGAAAATGAATTATTATGCCCTTGCAAAAAGTGCATGAATCATTATTGGTATTATAGAAATGTGGCGGAGAATCAATTGGTTGTTCATGGATTTGTTGATGGTTATACCAAATGGGTTTTCCACGGGGAAGGATTTTCCTCGAGAAATACACCTCATCCAAGCAATGATGATGAAGGTTCTACCATGCGTGACGATATTGATAGACTACTTCATGATACATTTGAAAATATAGAGGGTTAGGCAGGGGATGAAGAAGGAGTTGGGGAAAGACTATCTGAAGAAGCAAAGAAGTTTTTCAAATTGCTGGAGGAAGGAAAACAAGAGTTATATCCGGGGTGTGAAAATTTCAGTAAACTGAGTTTCATTATTCGATTGTACTTGCTTAAATCCTTGCATGGGTTGAGTGATGTGGCTTTCTCTGATTTGTTAAAGTTGATAAAAGAGGCATTTCCCTTTGCTCAGGTACCAGAATCTTTCAACAAGGCTACAAACATGATGACAGATTTGGGTCTTCATTATGAAAAAAAATACATGCATGCCCTAATGATTGCATGTTATTTTGGAAAGAAAATGCGAATGCCGATAATTGCTCTACTTGTGGGTCTTCAAGATGGAAGAGTGCTGGTCTTTGACTAAAGCAAGCTCTAAAATCCCTACAAAGGTTTTAAGGCACTTTCCTTTAAAGCCTAAGCTTCAGAGGACATTCATGTGTCCTGAAACGGCCGCTGCAATGAGATGGCATGCTAATGAACGACCCAATGATGGGAATATAAGACATCCTGCTGATGGGGAAGCTTGTAAGGCTTTTGATTCTTTGCACCCAGACTTCTCTAGAGATGCTAGGAATGTTAGATTGGGTCTTTCAAGTGATGGTTTCAACCCGTTTCGGACCATGAGCATTTCTCATAGCACGTGGCCAGTTATGTTAATGAACTATTAGTTATCACCGTGGATTTGCATGAAGCCGGAGTATATAATATTATCTATGATCATTCCAGATCCATCATCTCCAGGAAATGATATAGATGTGTACCTACGACCATTAATTGAAGAATTGAAGGAACTATGGGAAATTGGGATAGACACATTTGATGTTGAAACCAACCAAACTTTCCGAATGCGTGATGCCTTAATATGGACAGTTAGTGACTTTCCAGCATTAGCAATGCTTTCAGGATGGAGCACTAAGGGGATATTGGCATGCCCCAGTTGCAATTATGACACATGTTCTCAATATCTCAAACATAGTCATAAGATGTGTTACTTGGGCCATCGAAGATTTTTGCCTCGTGATCATCTATTCCGACGAGATAAGAAGTCTTTTGATGGTAAGGAGGAGCATAGACCTACACCTGCTCCATTGTCGGGTGAAGAAGTGTTTGAAGAGCTGCTTGAATTCAACAATATGTTTGGAAAGAGCTCTAAAAAAAGGCCTCGGAGTGATAAGGGTTCGTGGAAAAAAAGATCCATTTTTTTCGAATTGCCATATTGGGTGCATAACAAATTGAGGCACAATCTTGATGTGATGCACATTGAGAAAAACATATGTGATAGTTTGCTTGGGACTTTATTAGAAATAGATGAAAATTCAAAGGATCATGAAAAATCTCGCTATGACTTACAAGAAATGGGGATACGAAAGGAGCTACAACCAAGAATAAATAATAATGGAACTATAAGTTTGGCTAAATCTTGATTCTACATGGAACCAAAATAGAAAATTTTATTTTGTACTGTCATGAAAAATGCTAAATTACCAAAAGGATGTGCTTCGAATATTTCAGAACGCGTGCAAGTGAAGGAGATGAAAATATCATGGTACAAGAGTCATGACGCCCATTTTATAAAGCATTACTTGCTCCAGGTTGCGTTAGAAAAGTGTTGCCCAAGAATGTTTCATTGGCCTTGATTAGATTCGGAAATTTCTTTAGAGATATATGTAGTAAGGTCATAAGACAAATAGATCTTGAAACAATGCAGTATGAAATTGTTGAAATAACATGTGAGTTTGAAAAGATTTTCCATCCAACATTTTTTGATATAATGCCACATTTGCCTATTCATTTGGTGAATGAAATTATGCTTGGGGATCCGGCTCATCTTCGTTGGATGTATCCCATTGAGAGGAACCTATGTAAGTACAAGGCCTTTGTACGTAATCAATCTAGTCCAGAAGCGTCAATAGCAGAGGGGTTTTTGGCCGATGAGTGCTTGACTTTTTGTTCGAGATATCTACATGATGGCGTGAAGACAAAATTTAGTAGGTACCAAACTGTGGATGATGAGTGCTCTCAAATTTTGTCACCTATATTCCCTAATATAGGCCATTCAATTGGAAGTAAGAAAAGAAATACTTTTCTCATGGATTCGCAGTTATGCTTTGAAGCACATCGATATGCTCTGTTCAATACCGGAGATGAACAAATGGAAAAGTTTATCAAGTAAGATAAATTATATTAATATTTATTTATTTTTTATATAATTTTTTCCTTATTATATGATTAAACTTGAAATGTTCTTGATTGCAGGGAACATAAGAATTTAATTGTTAATCATAGTAGATCAAATGCACGGGTAAGAGCGAGGGATCATAGTCGGGAATTCTGCAGTTGGTTTAAAGAAAAAGTTAAAAATATTATATTGCCAGATTATTTAAGATGGCTAGCCAAAGGACTTAATATGGTAGCCAAAAGAAATACGGGATATTTTATTAATGGATATCGATTTCATACTAAAGAACGGGATTCCCGAGGCAAGACTCAAAATAGTGGAGTGACTTTATTGGCAACAACAGATAGTTTTGCTAGTGCTAGGGACCAAAATCCCATCGATGGCGAGGTTATCTATTATGGAACGATTAAGGATATTATTGAGATTGATTTTTGGGGTTGTTTTAGTGTTGTAATGTTTAGATGTGATTGGTTTCGTAATGAAATAGATGATTATGGGTTAAATCGGGTGTACTTCAGTAGATTATGCAGTACAGATGACTCTTTGTGTTGGCATCACAAGTTTATTAAGTTTTTTATGTGGAGGATCCAATTAAGAAAGATGTTTATTATGCAAGGAGTAAAGTACCTGTTGATTTGTATGATCTGAAGGAAGAGAATTGTCCCAATATTGGAGACATATTTTGGCGGGAACCTAATAATGACATTGGTTCCTCATCTAGATTACTTGATGATGATATTAGATCGTCAAGAGAAGATGTACCCGTTGATATCATTGATATTCCATCTCATGCACAAAATTCACATGATACAATTGTGGAAATATCGGAAGAGAAGGATGAGTTTGATGATACCGATTGGGACTGGATGGAAGCAGATGATTAAATAATAAAATTATGAAATTCTTTTAAGTTAATTCTTTTTTGAGTGAGTGATAATGGCTTTTTTATTTATAAATATTTTATGATTATTTTTATTTATATCCTTTAGAAAATTATTCTGACATGCTTCAATTTTGCAGGATTCGAGAGAGATTTCGGATACTTTTGTTCGGTTGTTGAGGTTCGTCCCTTCTCCCACTTCCTCTTTGGTTTAGTTGGTAATTTCTATCCTCCATGAAATTACAGCAATATTATAGCTAATATAAATGATATTTGGTCGTCACTCTCACGCGGAATGGCTTAGTTCATTCACATTAATCATTCAACTGACATCCATTTATCTACTCCCTATCATTTAGATTTCAATCTGTAGTAAGTCACTGAATTGTAATGAATTCTAAGTGGGTCTTAGTTTATATTATGGTTCATATGTTTTGTTGTGTGGATCCAGTTTAATTTGTGCAGTTAGAGTTGAAAGGTGTGATCTTTTTCAAGTAAGTTTAGTGATTGAGGTCAAACAATTTGAAAATAAAATATTTCAGACCCTAAAAGATGAAAAAATAAAAAGAATTAAGTTGAAGGTGAAAAAGACAGATTTAATTGTATGCTTAGGCCTGAGTGTTTATTTGTGAGGTGATTTCTTGGGTTTTTTGTGGTTGAGGTGAATTTGCCACTGTTTGTGGATACCCAATTAGGGGGTTATCAATTTATCACTTGATATGTTTACTTGTTACCCTTTTGGCAAGTTTCCTCCATTTTATGCTTCGATTCGATCTGTTGTCGTAAACATTTCCACGTTCATGCTATTATGTGTAACATATCTGTAAGTCTGTGACCTGTTTTGATCAGGACAAATATCTTGGAGATTATCAGTGTCTTTTGCTTTGCAAAGACACATGTATATATATATATATATATATATATATATATATATACATACATACATCTTCCTGATTGCTTCAATGTAAAGTAATAATCAAAACTTGGAGTTCAATTCACTAAATTGTAAGTATCTTTTGTTGAAAGAAGCAGAGTGTTTAAAGAAAGATGACAAATACTTATCTGTAAGGTTAGATGTCCCTCTTCAAAATAACAACTTGTTCTTTTTAGATAACCTTACCTTTAATAGTTAATTTAATCCCGAATTCAATAGCTTAATATAGTTAAGCAATATCACAACAAATGTTCTAGTTTCTTTTATCTTATTTTTTCAGAATCAACTTACACTATGTTTGAAATGATCTTACTCTTGTTAGAAATGATATACTATGTTTGCTGCTTTTGCTAACCTATATTGTGTTTGCTTTTCAGAATCTGAAAAATATTTGAATAGTCATGAATCAAGAAGGGTGCTCAAGCAAAAATTAGAAAATATCCAACCGCATTCCAGCTGGATCACTTGCATCTTTGCTAAATCAAAGGGTTTCGTCGTTGACAACAAAAAGAACCTTCCAAGCTACAATGTCAAATCCAAATGAAGAACGACAATCAGAAGGTGGATTACCTTCATCTTTGCGAAACCTAAAGGTTTCGTTGTTGACAACAAAAACAGCCTTGAAAGCTCTAAGGTCAAATGCAAATGAAGAACGACAATCCGAAGGTGGATCTCAATTGCAAGAACAAGTGCAGCAAGTGCCACAGAATTGCACCTCTTCAGCAACACAAGGAGTACATGAACAAGTGCAACAAGCGAATATGGATTCCATCACTTCTGCATCACAGAGAGTACATGAACGATCTGATGATTCTACCACTCATGAAGCAGCTGAACAAATTGATGAACAAGGCAAATATATATAAATTTTAATCATAAACTTAACTAAAAATAGTGATTAATGATTATCTTTGTTTTGTACTATTGCAGGCCCCTCCTCGCCAAAAAGAAAAAGAGACCGTACTCAAATGCCAAGTGTTCATGGCAGAAAGAAGCGTAAAATAATCATTCTAAATGAGTATAATCAACCCGTTGGTCCTACTAAAGAGGTTGTAAAAGAGTTGGGTAGCTTCCTCAGCACATTGGCAAGGAGTGGAACTTTTTGTCCTCTTAATGTATTTAATTGGAGGAAACTAGACACAAAAGATGATATGTAGAAATATATCAAGGTATGAAGTTCCCAATGTCCAATAAACATGGATGATATTTCTTATTTCTTACACTAACCCAATTGCACTAAATTTGTAGGATAAATATGACATTCCTGACGAGGCAAAACAATGGATTTTTGAATCAGTTTGTAGTGCTTGGAGAAAGTATAAGAGTCAATTGAAGGCAACCCACTTCACAACCTATGAGAATGATGATCTTCGAATGGAGAATAGGCCAATAGATGTTTCGGAATCTTACTTTAAGGATCTTCTTAAATATTGGAACTCCGATCCACACAAGGTAATTACATTCAGAATCTCTTGTCTTGTTTTAACATAATTGTTTTTTGATGCCTGAGTCAAAAGAATAGAAGTAAAATAGTACCAAACATTATAGTTTTGGTTGTGAAACTGTAATGTATATACTATTTCTTATGCACAAAGCAATGGTATCACAAACTTATGCTATCTCTACCTGTGTTTTTCATCAATAAGTCCTAAAAAAGCAATGGTATCACAAACTTCTGCTATCTCTACCTGTGTTTTTCCTTTCTGTGTTATCTTTTTTGCCCCTTTTCTTTTACTTTCTCCTCTTTGTGTTGTTCTTCTCTAGACTCTTTAATAATGAAATTGCATCAATAGGATTCTAATCTCGAGAGAGATAGCAATAATTGGCTTTTGATTAATATATAGGTAGCTCGATCTGTAGGACACTTGCATGAAAAAATAAACTTAACAAGTACTATACACCAATACATAGAGAGTAAAATGAGGATATTTAGTTAATATTTTGAAGTATTCAATCACCGATAATACAGCCGTCAATCCATGAGTAGGGTTGAGAATCCCAAATTCTAAGAAAACTTGCAATAAAGCTATATTATCAATATAAGGAAACAGAGAAGTTTTAAATACTTCAAACATTCATTTTGAGGGGGAAAACTTTGTAGTAACATGTCAAAATACGAAGGTACATTTTAATTTCAATTGAGCACAAAAGTAATTTATGCCCTAATGCTATATGTGTTTTCTGATGAAATGGCCATAATGAGATTCTTACAAGAAAAAAAACTGCAAAGAATTAACCCTCGAAAGCAAAATAGGCTATATTTTAAGATGCTTAGCTAGCATGATGATTATCTGGTGATGAGGAGAAAATTAAAAGAGATTGCAAGAAATGAATTTGCAGCTTTAATTGCATAATGTAATTAGCAGTTTCAAGAAGCAGTTGATGAAAATATACTAGCGCCTGGGATTAGCCTTTGCAGCTTCACCACCTTGTCTTGCTGCTGTTGAAGATCAACACAACTCATTCTTGATCTTCTCTTAGACGACTTCAGTTTGTAAGAATCTGGAGGCATTCTTCTTATGGGTGCCATCAGATTCAGCCATTGCTTTACTTGCAATGCAACACTTAATGTGAGTACTTATTTCAAATATGTGTGGTTCAGATCTTAAATGCAATGTGAGAGATTTTAATGTAAAGTTCAGTTGTGATAGTACTTAATCAAGCAAGCTTTAATACTATGAGTGTAGTCTTGGGTATTGATGTGGGTAATAGGCATAACTGTTGGTTGCTATTGGTTGACTCGTTTATTTGTGAAAAATGTCTGAAACCAGTACAGAGAATCAAAGTAAGTTGAAGTATCCGCACACTGCTGGCAGAACACCTTTTGCTCTAATTCGCGAGGTTTGATATTTTATCTTTATTATTTTTTTTTAAATTATGAACTTGCTAACTTTATATGAAAAGATTCTTATACCTGTTTTCATGTAACTAGGAAAAAAAGAAGAAAATCTCTGATACTTCAGATACTCTATCAAGTAAGGACATCTTTGTGGCTACAAGAAAAAGAAAACTTGGCCGAGTATACAAAAGCTCATATGACAATACGATTAGTAAAATTGTACGAGATTTCTAATTTAAAGTTTGTCGTGGTTATTTATTTGTTCTTAATTATTGATTCAATTTTAGTTACCTTAAACTCTTTTCTCTCGTATTTGGTTTGTAGACTGAAATGGAGAGAATACAATCAACTCAGGAAAGTGAAGATGGTAGTCATTCAGTTGACGCTTTTGCATCAGTCATGGGACATGAACATCCAAGTCGCGTGAGATTGTATGGACGAGGGATTACCAAGACTTTGTTAAAAGGGCAAAAAGGGAATCTTGGATCTTCTAACGAGAGGATGCAGCAGAAAATGGAGGAAATTGAAGAGAGGATGCAACAAAGAATGCATGAAAAGTTGAACGAACAAAAGGATGCTATGGAATAAAATATTACAATGAACGTCATCGCACGACTTCAGCGTTTGAACCCAGATTTGCGACTTGATCCTGACATGTTAAGGTTCAGTGCACGTTCACCTGCAGAAGCTTCCCCTGCACAACAAGCTGATGTTCAACTAAACAGTCGACCATCTGCTGGTAGTAACATTCAAGGTCAGTACGTACCAAATGTTATACATCTTCTATTTCTTCTTCTTCTCCTCCTTCCTTGCTTGGGATTTTGCTTTGGTTCAAGGCAGAGTGGATATGGTAATATCCTTTTTTCTTCCTATAAATGTGCCTATTTCGGCTTTGCCTATTTGTTCTTAATTAAAATTCAAATTGTTAAGCTCAAATATATACCTTAGGGCCTCTAGGACCATTTCTCCACAAAGGTGTTGAAGTGGTGTCACAATTAGCACATCCAGCATTTGGACATGTAAGAATTAGAGCGACATTCATTAGACTGAAGTCGCTTTTCATTAGTGTCACTGGTGGTACTAAGACGAGTGGAAGGTGTCCCTAATGAAAGTGTACAATTAGACGATGTTGAAGAAGCAAATGAATACATGTTTTGGTCAGAATAATTTTCATCAAAAGGAGTTGTCTGATATAATGGTTGTTCAGTTCATTTTGTAAGTCTCGAGATCCCACTTATTTTGCTCCTCCTTCTTTGTTTTTCCTTTCGAGTTGTCAAAACTGAAATTTCCAAGTCAACGAACGTCTTAAAGAGATTAGATGTAAATGTATGGGGAAGAAAAAGAGCAAGAAGAGAGTATGCTCAAATACAGAAATAACTGTTTATTCTCTGCTTCTTTCCTTGCATCAGTCTTGAATATCTTATATCAAATTAATATTAGTGCAAGAATAAAAAGAATGATTGTTGTAGCTTCTTGGACTGCTTTATTCATTTTCTATCAGTTTCTGATCTTTAATTCAGTTCAAGCTCAGTATCAATCCCGAGATAGCTGCCCCGGGGAATTCCAATGTGGGATCCTTGGAAATATGAGGTTTCCTTTTTCTGTATCCTCACAACCTGCTTGTGGATTGTACACCATTGATTGTGATGCTAAACCAAATCCAACAATTCATTTAGAAGGATATGTTTTCACTGCTTTGAAACAACGGTCATATGATGATAGTTTTCGACTTTTTGATCTTAGGTTTAATGATTTATTGGCAAGAAACAGTTGCAATTCTTTCGATAAAAGTCTATCTTTTCCAAGTTCTCCTTCTATCTCGTTTAGAACCAACGAACGCAATCTTACCTTGTTCAGATATAACTTTAGTATGCTACAACCTTTTGTTGTAATAAACATGTGAGATCTTAAGGAAAATATTCCATCACATTAATTTCTTACACTGTCGTTTTCGTCGAATACACCAGACTCCCAAAGGTTTCTCTTTATTTTGCTGAACAAATTCTGATCTTTGTGGCTCTTATGGCTTTCTTTTGGTTTGTTTAATGTTCTTCAGCAGACTGTGAACTATACATCTGAGGACCTATAGAATAGTGTGTCTTGTGGTGGCATTGAAGTTGAAAGGGTTTGAGTTGGAATTACTTTTATTCATATCCGTAGGAGTCAAAATGGCTTGAACGAAAATCCATCCTCCAAAGATTGTCCAGATCCTTAAAATAAGTTGTACCTTTGGATCAACTACTTGAAACTCTATATTGATGCATCATTCCGTAAACCTTTTTTTTTCATGGTAATTAATAACTTTATTTATCCTCTTTTGTAGGTGGAGTAGATCAAGAAATGGATGATGAAGACGATGAAGAACTAGACCTTACTTGAGATGAATTTTGATTTGTTATAGATGAATGTTCTAGGAATCTTTTGTTACCAACATTTTTTAAAACTTATTAACCCTCTTGAAATGTACTAAACTTATGCACTCATGGGGTAGAACATTTGCTTTATGGATATTATTTGCTTGATGGATAATTTTATATTATTAATAGTTTTATTTTATGATGTATTTAAATTTTAGTGTTATTATAATTTATTATATGTATAAATATTTATTTATAACAGGTGCTATATATATTTTGATTTTAACTGAACTGATACAATAGCCTACCAGAACCGTTGCAATAGGATACAAATGGCGTTCCAGTAGACAATATAAACCGTTGCAATAGGTCCCATAAACTGTTCCAAAATGATCTACAAACCGTTCCAAATACAAATATAACCGTTACGATAGCTTAACGAAACCGTTGCTATATCCAACATAACCGTAGCAATAGCTTACATAAGTATTGCTTTAAATAATATGGCAATGGTTAAGAACCGTTGTATAAACAATATAGTAACGGTTTTAAACCGTTCCAATTGAAAAAAATAATCGTTCCAACAGAGAACGGGAAAACCGTTGCGATAGACGTATCTATTGTCACGGCGATGCAAACCGTTGCAAGAACCGTTCCAGTAGACCTATGGGTACGCCGGCTGATGTGACGGTCTGTAAACCGTTCCACAATCCCTACGGCAACGATTTGACAGTCTGTGGGGACAGATTTTCAACCGTTACCGTAGACCAATTTTCCAGTAGTGTGAATACAATCTTTTTATGAAAACAAAACTTATTAACTTGATCATTTGAGTATAAAATCTTGAAGAATATAGAGAGTTTTCAAAATAGTAGTAAAGAAAGAATTCGTTTATGCAAAGTGAAGTTTTAATGAATTTAAAGTGTTAAGAAAGAAATTTTACAGAGAAAAATAGTTATTAGTCGTCACAACTTCTTGTCTAAAACTTTTATTCATTATCATATTTGAATAATTTTCTAGCAATTTAAAAATCTTCTGATGCTAACAAATATTTTGTAAATAAACAAAAGGTGTTTGAATATAAGTGTCGATAATAAGTTGATGTCATTGACAAAAAAGTAATAGGAAGCCCTTCTTTCTTGTTAAAAATGTAAATGCACTTAGAGACATTATTTACAAAGGTATAAATAAAAAGCATTTTTACAAGATGAATGACAAACGAAATTGGAATGGAGAGGATAATTCAGGGATTAAGAAAATATTATGAATAAAATAGTAAAAATATAAGTGAGTACCTATTAAAAGTTATATGTAACTGATTTTACACTTTGAACAACTTATATGTTGACCTAAGCACTTTCTGCATAAAATTTGACATATTTTCACTCGCACGTGTGGACCTCGATTGAGAAGCAAATTTGTGATGAAAATTCAGAAGCTGCAACTTTTGTCTATTTGTTAGTAGTGTTATTTTCGAACTAGTCACCTGCTGTACAGAAAAAAGTTAAATCCTAATCTAAATTGTAATTTATCGAAGTACGTTGAAAAGAAAAAAGAAGAAACAAAAAAAATAAAAAAGCAAAGTATGTTGAGAGGTATTCTAGCATGCATAGGCTTCCGAAATCCTTGGAAATAATTTCCTAGTATTGATTAACTCATAAGGAATCATAAATTAAAGGACAAGTTACATAGAGTCTCCCCCAACTTATATTGAGTACGATTGACTCTTCCATTTTAATGAAGTACCTACAAGAGGCACAACTAGCTAATTAGATGCAGGTTCGTCCGAATTCAATCACTTTTACTTAATACTATATTTGTACTAAAAAATTATCAAAAATAAATAAATATTTAATTACGAACTCAGTAGTTATATATATACTATTTCATTATGAGACAATAGTCGAGGGCCTTTTAATTAAAATTCCTTCGTTAATCTGTATTAGTCTACTCTTCATAGGTGAAGTATTAACTATTAAGTGGTGTTTTGTAACGTTCTTACTCTTTAACTAAGTACATGTACGTCACTTGACAATTTGCTCACGATCTTGCACAACTCGCTCACATTTTTACTATGCCAAGTCAGTCTTACTATACTAAAGATCGCTAAGAGAATGTTAGAATACATGAGAATTGCCAAAGGAAGCTTTTGTATTAGAGAGAACTTGGTTGTTTTACTTGGTGAGTTACAAATGAATAGCCTCTTTATATACTAGTCTCCTAGGGACTAATGAGTAAATAATAAATATTACACAAGGCCCTTAATTTTTTTTTTTTGGTAATTATAAATTTTATTACCAAAGAAATATTTACAGAGTGCACAGAAACCTCTAAAGTTGGACCATAGCCCCAACTTTAGTATACTTCACCTACAGCCAGATATAAGAAGATAGAGAATTGCAAACTAGGCTATGTCTTCCTACAGACTAACTAGGGTAGTAGTCAAATTTCTTCAACTGAATTGCCAAGTTCTTCATCTTTCTACCTATACAATGTATGTCTTGAATAATCTGCCTCACTATAGTTGTTGTTGGTCTGGTTCTTTGTTAGAAGATTTTGTTGTTCCTTTCCAACCAGGTATAATATCACTTCCTGCAAGGGCCATGCGATATATCACCACTTTTGCATTGTTACTATAGGCATGCTTTTGCATTCACTCAACTTCTTCCTGCCAACCCATAGCATGCATTGCATTCCTTGCCACTGGAGGATCTTCTGCCAAATTTGGGATGTAACTGGGCATTTGAAGAAAGGTGTTGCACATCCCTATCAGCGTTATCACACAATGGACAGGTGTCGATGCCCCCTTTTACTAAAGGCGAAATCGGGTTTACGACATTTGGCCGGACAACTCTATTCCTTTTGGGAATTCGGGTTTGAGATTTAGAAGAGTCGCCACCTAATGATTAAGTGCATTAGGACACTAAGAATTTAAAAGAAAGAAGAACCAGAAAATGGGTAAGGGCTTGAAATTATCTCAGGGGAAAGTTGTTAGGCACCCCCAAGATCCACTAGTGTGGTTCCCGGTCATGTTACAATTGTGACTTTAAAACAAGTAAACATACAAGACAACTTCCACATAACGATTACAAGTAGGAATGTATAAAGGTTAAATAAACATGCTGAAGTCAGGAAATAGGTGGTTTCATAGTTGTTTAAAATAATGTATAAGTGCAGAAAAATAAGGATCAAATAACGAGTGCAAACAATCAGACAAAAGAAGTGAAATGG